TGACCGCCATTGTTGAAACAAGTTAATAAACCCAACTTTGTTCGACTACAAGTGTGTTCCTGGTGGTCTGGTTGGTGGGCTTCAACAGTGCAGTATAAAAACTAAACAGAGATGGGCTTTTAAACTGGAGCACGGGAAAATGCCTGGGGCAGAGGAAGGCTTTTTAAAAGATCTGTAGGAGTTCACTAGATGAAGAAGAGGGCAGAAGGGAGCAAAGAACTACGTAGGTCTCATCACAGGGGAAAAGGAAGCACATTAAGGAGAGGTGGGAAATGAGATTTGCGTTATTAGATTTGCATCTTGAGAGATGAATATGTCTGCTGTATGGAAGATGGATTGGATACTGGCTGGCAGACTAGATAGGCAGCTGGTGTAGTAATTCAGGCAAGAAATGATAAGGGTGTGAATTGCGGCAAAAATTAGGTATGAAGACCTGCCATTATTTCTTACAGATAATGAGGAGGGAAAGCTAAGGACTTGGTGTCAAGATAAAAAATGGAGCCTAATAATTATTCAAATTTACTTGGCAGGCTTGTGAAAATACTGGAGGGTCCTGATAATCTCAATTTGGGTCAAATCAGCAAAACACATAATGGATGCTCTGCCTGTGTTATCAGTGCTAGAACAATGGGCATGGAAGGAATCCGAAGACCTCAGTTTGATACCTTGGCTCAAGTGTCAGCTTTCCCACTTGGTGGATGTTTGCCCACTTGAGAAAATACTTGATTTCCATCAATTCCCTCGTGATACCTATCTCCCAAGACAATTATCAGAATCAAATAAAATTATATGGAAGTATTTTGTAAATTGTAAATCACTATGTAAATATAAGGTATAATTATTAACAGCTTAGGAGGTGACAGTAAGCAGGGAAATCTCTGGAAAAGAGTTCTACAATTTAAAAAGCGTTGTATAACTTGTTTTAGAGTGGAGGGATGGATTTGGAGTCAGATCCTTGGCTATATCTTGGCATTTTTCTTTGCAAAAGAATGATGCAGCCTCAAATTATTTAACTTTTCAATTTTTCTTCCCCCTTTAGTAATATGGTAGATAATGAAACTTACCTGAAAAACCTGCTATGTAAATAAACAGTGAAATTATCCATCGTTGTATCTATCACATAATTACTGCAGGAAAAAAGAGAAAAGCTGTTGTACTTAATCTCGTCTTGTATCTCTTTAAGGCATTTATATTTTTCAGGTTCAAGATGGCAGACTGACCACATAGATTTTTCTCCTCTTGGAACTTCCTCAGAACCCAATAAATTATAGTAAAAGAGTGAAAAAGGTGGAAGCCAACCATGACTGAGAGAATAGTAGGGACAAAATCAATGGAGGAGAGATTAACTGAATTTCTGAATGGTGAGAGGGAGATGGAGAGAAAACAGAAGGAGGAAGCCACAGCAGAAACTGTGAGGGGAGGGGCTAAAAGCAAAGAGTAAGCCAAGCTTACCTCGAATTCCCAGAGAGAACTGAGACTCACAACACTGAGAAAAATGCCAGCCTTGGGGCTGAAACAGTGATAAGGAGGTTAAATGAAAATCTAGTTGAAGAAGAGAGGGGTCCTAGATCAACTGGTGTGGTCACTTGAACTGTAGAGCAAATGACCTTTATATTCTGGTATTTGGGGACACCCCCTGCCACCCCCTCCCCACTCCCCGCCCACAGCCTAAAGGTCAGCCAGCCCCTTTCTTACCCTCAAGTGAATTCTGCCTATCAACTAACTTTTCCTCATACACGGAGCTGCAATGCAGCTTCTTAGTGTCGTTAATAAATCTGAAAGGATGATTAACAATCGTAGCTTCACTTAAGGGGTCTAGGGTTCATGGAGAAATCATCAATTCCATGACTGGAGCAGAAAAGTTCAAGATGAACCTGGAATATCTTGTTGAGCCAGAAAGTAAGATATGGGGGCCATTTTTAAAGGACATAGGAGCCGGCATGAAGATGTTCCCACTGTCCAAATATGGGACAATTTGAGCATCAAAATTAATAATAGTATTAATGTATTATAACATATTGAGTTAAATAAGAATCCACAAGCTCATATTAATATAAATATTGATATTAATAAATACACACAAAAAAATAAATTGGGAGAAGAGGAAATTCTTTCTTATAGTAGAATGCCAACTAATAAATGTAGAAGGATTTATGAAATTAGAAACTTGTGAATAGATCTTAAAATTAGTCAGTGAAAGCTGGATAAGGAATAGGATATTTACATAGTGTCCAAGTATCAACACAGAAATTAATTATTAATTACAAAGGGGTAAATAGCAACTTTACAGTGAAGAAATTTGAAGGACACTTCTTTCATCAAGTGATCAAAGTTAACGCCTACCAAATTTGCATAAACCAACATAGAGTGCCTCCTGATATGATGCACTGAGAAGGGTACAGCATCACTTCTATGACATTTCTACCAAAAATGCAAAGTAAGAATCTAATCATGACAAAATTCAGATAAATCTACATCAAAGAACATTCTATACAATTTTTGGCCTGCATCCTTCAAGTCAGTTAAAGTCAAGAAAGAGAAAGACTGAGGAACTGATCCGGATCAAAGGAGATTAAAGAGACATACATGACACTGAATCAGACCCTGGGCCCGGGAAAACGTAACTATAAGGGACATCATTAGGATAATTGACTAAATTAGAATATGGATGTAGATTAGATAATAGTATTATATCAATATTAAATTTCCTAATTCTCACAATTGCACTATCCTTGTTCTTAGATAAGTGAGCACGATAGCTGAAATTTATTCCAGAGTGGATTTGACACTGTATAACTATTAAATATATATATTACTATATACATACACTGTATTACATATATTATATATAATGATAAAATGGGGCAAAATATAAACATTTAATAAATCCAGGTATCCTGTACTTCTTTGCACTATCATAGCAAATTTTCTATAAATTTGACATTAAATCAAAATAAAAAATTATCTAATTGACAAAATCCATAACAATTATGGCTTTAGAAGAAAAGGTAGGGGGCTGGCCCATGGTGCAGCAGTTAAGTTCACACATTCCACTTTGGTGACCCAGGGTTCGCCAATTTGGATCCCAGGTGTGGACCTACGCACTGCTTGTCAAGCCATGCTGTGGTGGCATCCCACATAGAAAGTAGACGAAGATGGGCATGGAGGTTAGCTCAGAACCAGTCTTCCTCAGCAAAAAGAGGAGGATTGGCGGCAAACGTTAGGTCAGGGCTGATCTTCCTCAAAAAAAAAAAAGATCCCAAATCATCCACTGTACTTGATGCCCCCTGAATCTCCCCAAAAACAGGTCATTCTGCCTATGCATTGTAGCTTTGCCAGGGATAGCCCACTTCATCTTCAGATAGCCCTTTTCTTTTCCCTTTTGCACAGCCACATCTGCCTTGAGATGTAACTCTTAGTCCTCTCATGATCATTTCTACGCACCCTAACCTCCCTTCTCTGAAATCTACTATACAGTTTATACTGTAGACCAAGGGAAAAAAGAACTACAAGGAACATTATTGTGACAATTGACAAAACTTGAGCATGTACTACAGATTAAATAATAGTATTACATAAATATTAAATTTCCTAATTTTAATAATTATATTGTCCTTGTTCTTTTTTTTTCCTTCTTCTCCCCAAAGCCCCCCAGTACATAGTTGTACATTCTAGCTGTGAGTGCCCCTGGTTGTGTTAGGTGGGACGCCACCTCAGCGTGGCCTGATGAGTGGTGCCATGTCTTTGTTCTTAAAGTAAATGGACTCATATGTATGTACATGGCTCTTATCATAGGCTGTCTCCTATTTTGAGTTCTTGGAAGGAAATGAGTAAGGAATGTATATCTATTTATAGATAATCATTCATAGAACATTATTCGGTGTAAAAGAGGAGACTATCAAATGCCCTTTAAATATTGAATAAAGTGTATTTAACTCTTGAGGGCAAGGATTGTGTTTATTTATTTCTGTGTCCCCAAATCTTAGGACAATCTTGGTGTTGTAGCTACTTGATGAGTGTCTACTGAATGAGTATCTCTCGAAAATAGTCAGCTTCTCAGACCAAAGTCCCTATGCTAGGTATTTTTACAGCCCCAAATTCTTAACACAGTGGTCAATGCCCAATAATACTTCATGCATACATGAATGAAACTTACATTGGACTCTACAATATTTTACACCTATAAAGCAGAGATTTAACAAGTCAAGTCAATGAACAGTTATCGAGCATCGTCTCTGAGACAGGCAGGGCTGCAACAAGTACTTGATATATGAATAGATGAGCCTTAATTCAAACATAACGTATTTTGCTTTGATAAAGCAGAGATTTTTCAGTAAGCAAGACAAGAAGCATTTTCTAAGTGCTGACCACACATCATTTCAAGTGCTTCTGATGGCAACCATCATTCTAAAGAATAAATGCTTCATTCTTAATACAGCTATATGTGTAATCAGAGGTGAAAAAGGTGGGAAAAATAAAACCCATCTATCAAAGAAGGGAAAAAAATACCATGTGATTTTAGCTGTTGGCTTCCCTTTATTGATCACATCTTGGGAACTTCTAAATACAGAGATTCATAACTAAGTCCATTTAGTTGAAATTCTTCCAATAGTCTGTGGAGTTCAAATCTCTCTAGAGGTGAGTTCTACAAACAGCAGGAAAAGGAAAATGAACCAAAATGGAATTGTGCCACAAATGAAAGGAGGAAAGAAATTTTTTTAGCATTCAACAGCTAAGAAATGTTCCTGTTTATAATCAGCGTGGAGAAACACTAACACTAAAAAATGCAGTATATTTGGATTAAATTTAGAACATTTTTAAGGAATTTTTAAAAATTGAAATCTCAACATAAAGGGACAAGTGGTTAGGCTTCACCCTATCCTGCTGCCCAGTCTGAAATCAGAATAAGATTTGACTAAAGTCAACCATTACAGGTTGAAACCGATTGACAAATTCAAAAACATAAAAGTACAGTAAAATAAATAACCAGAACAAAAATATTTGTGCTGAATGAATTAGATTTATTAAGAGACTAACAGCCAAACCCCTTCCCACCCACACGCATTTGTAATACATTGATGTTGATGCAGAATTTAATACTAGATGAGCAGAGCAATAGTAAGAGGCAAACTTCTTGCTTTACTGCTAAAATTCAGGTATGTTAAAGAAATACATTTTGCTTTCTTTGGCTGTAGATGAGTATCAGTTCAACATTTGATGCCTGGGTAATTTGTTCAGCATCATCAAAGACCTGGACCTCAGTAAGACATTAGCAAGAAGATGGAAGATGCATCTCCCAAGCACATCTGAAGGCAGGAAAGCAGTCTTTGCTCTTCAGGCTGTCCTATGCATAAAGAGTTGATTGAGAGTCCGGTAGTTGCCTGGAGCCGTTGGTTCATCAGTAGGTGCTGTAGCCAAAGCCAGAGCCAGAGCCCCATGGCCTGGAAAAGCTGCCACCATAGCCACAGCCCAGGTTGCTGATGTTGCTACCACCAAAGCTGTAGCCCAGGGAACTATAGCCATTGCATCCAAGACCATAGTTCAGGGGAGAGCCCAGGGGCACGACAACATTCAGGGGGGTGGCTCTGAAGGTCCCATGGAAGTTGGTTCCATAGCAAGGATAGCCTGGGAAGTAGCTTCCACAGCTGAAGAAACGAGTCATGGTGGCAGGAGTTGAGAAGGATTTGGATCAATTGGGAAGAGCAAGTTACCCAAGTGTGGATGGAGTTCTCCTGCACGGGGCTTTTTATACCTCAAGCTGGTGGGCAAGACACGCTTGTCTAGACATCTTCCCATTCATTTGCATAAATAATTCTATCATTTGCTAATAAAATGCATACAAAGGAACCCACAGACTCATTGCCCACATTTTTTTGGCCTTCCTGTTTGCAAAGGAATGTGTTGTATCTTCAAAGCGAGTGATCATCCTTGACATACAATTGAATTCTTTTCATCAGCAACCCATAGTTTACTGTTCTGATAGCATCATGTGAAACTCTAAATCCTTTGATTATAAACTCCTCCCTACTGACATAGCTAGATTTAAAAAGCTTTGGCAACAATGTAAACGCTTCTAAAGCTTCCTGAAATTCTCTCCATATCTCATTCAAAAACATTGGTATACTAACTGCTTAATGGGTACAGTTTCTTTTGGGGTGAAGAAAATTATTTGGAACTAGGGGTGGTGGTTACAAAACACTGTGAATGTACCAAATACCACTGAATTGTTTGCTTTAAAATGGTTAGTTTTATGTTCTATGAATTTCATCGCAATAATTTTTTTTTAATTTTTAAAGTATTGCAACACAAGTTCTTCAGCACAAGTCTTTTTACAGAGACTGCAAGGACACCAAAGAATAGAATGGCTGTGGATAACCTACTAGTAATTTTATGTATTTCATTTATGAGCATCCTCCTTGTTAACATGTATTTTTTTTCACAGAGAACATACAATCTTTGGTTGTAAACTATCTAGAACACTGCCAAGCTCTCTTGTAGAGTTGCCACTCTGGGGCTTAGTGGAATGATGCCCAATTTCAAAGTCATGTTATACCATGTTTGGTTCTTATTGACTCCTGGTAAAACAAGCCTCGATGCCTTGACCCACTGTGAAATGCCAGTTGGATTTAAGAATGCAGCACTGACTTCTGTTCCCATTTCACCCCGTAGGGCCATTTCTCATGATGAAGGTAAGCCAGAAAGAATTTGAGCTCAGCAAAGCTAAGTCTATTTCAATTCAAACGTTTAGGAAATAATCTTTTTTGTAGATGAAAAAGAGTCTGGATTCTTTGTAAAGTAGAAAAAGAAAACTTTGAGGATACCAACTCCTTTGATGTATTCCCGTCTTAATGGACAATCATAGAGCCTAACAGGCAAAACTAATTATTCCAGTCAGACCTCTCTCTCTTTATTAAGGTTCCACCTGACAGAAGAGTTTTCTACAGATTATTTTACGTAAGTAGATATGATTTCTTTTATTCTACAAACTGATTACATGTTATGAGAGTTTACAGTTGGAAGGAATCAGAAGATTAGGTCTATTTTCAAATTCAGTTTTTAAGAAAAGAAATGAATTGAAGTGATAAGAAGCTGTGTCAAGGGTGCAAATTATATAAACTCTACATCTGATAATCCAGAAAACTCAAAAATATGTCTGTGAGTAGGAGAGGGCAGAGGTGACTAAGAATTATAAGTGTTGGGGTGGTTGCTTGAAAAATTTAACTGCTGATTCTCCCGTGCAATGACATTCCAACCTGTAATTTGGACCTGCTGCCACCAGGTGGCAGTGGTATTTTAATTACTCAGTTGAACTACAGGACTGAAGTTGAGGTTTCCAAATGTAAGCGGACAGAATCCCCTAAAGAACTTGTTTGAAATTCAGATTTCCGGAGCTCTCCTCTCCCACTACCACCATGAGATTCTGCAAATTTATATTTTTAATGAGTATCTCAGTTGATTCTCATGGATAAATCATCCGGATAAATTCTGGGCCAGTGTTTGATGAGATTTCAAGGAATTCATCTTTCCTCGGCTCTGTAAAATTGCCCTGAGCTGCTTATCGCTCATTGGCAGGCGTGGTCAGCGTCAGCCACAGGTGTCCTATTTCCTTTCACTCTAGGCGATAGACATAATTAAAGAAAAAAACCTTAGTTTGTCTTTTCCATTTCGCCTGTGCTCTGTTTTCTTTCTCAGCACACACCTGAATAGTAAGGGAGGTAACAGCAATGTGTCCAGGCAGCTTCCAAGAAGTGAAACCCCCCTGAGCTCTCCACCCTTCCCTGCTTGGTTCCCCTTCCCCTCATCCCTGCTTCCTAAGAAAGGAGTAATACATAAGCTCTTCCCCCTGAAACTCTGCTCTCTGGAGAACATAGACCAAAACAGCATCTCAAATTTTTTTTCAAATATACCTTCTTTGAGATGCAATTCACATATGGTAAATTTCACCCTTTTAAAGTTTACAGTTCAGTGGTTCTTCTATTCACGGAGTTATGCAACCACCACCGTTATCCAATTTCAGAACGTTTTCATCACCCCAAAAAGAAACCTCATACCCATTAAAAGGCACTCCTCATTCACAACCTGGTGGTTGTGAACTAATGTAAGTTCTGTCTCTATGATTTGCCCTTTCTGGACATTTCACATAGAATGACACAACATGTGGCCTTTTGTGTCTGGCCATAATATTTTCAAATTTCATCCATTTTGTAGCATGCGTCAATACTTCATTCCTTTTTACTCCCAAGTAGCATTCCATTGTATGGATATATCACATTTTGTTTATCCATTAGTCAATTGACAGACATTTATGTTGTTTCCAATATTGGGCTACTTGCTATGAACATTTGTGTATAAATGATTTTTAGCATGTCAAAACTTGGTCTACTCATTTTCTTCTACACCCCTATTCCTTCCCCCAGCCTTTCCCGTCTTAGTAAATAACTCCACCATCTAGTTGTTCAGAACAAAATCTTAATTCCTTTGTTGGTTATAATTCCTTCGTCTGTCACCAGGTCCAGTTAGCTCTGCCTCCAAAATACATCTGAAGTCCATTCACATGTCTCCATCCTCACCACTATCACCCAATTAAACCACCGTCACCTCTACCAGGGACTGCCGCCACAGCATCTTCACTGGTTTCCCTTCTCCCTCGTTTACACTCTCTCCATAGGATTTTTCCCAAACATCAGCTAATGTGACCCTTTGAAAAGAAGGTGTGTTTTACCTTAGTTAGAAAGCCTTCAGTGACTTCCTATTGCTCTTAGGAAAACAAAAATTCAACTTTGCACATAGTCTGTTCCTTTCTAACTTTCCATCATCACTTCATACGACTTTTCCTCCCTGCCTATGATCCAGCCACACTGGTCACCTTTCTCATGGTCTGTCTTCCTCACTAGAATGCCCTGATGGTAGGCACCTTGTCTGTCTTCTTCGTGCCTGACTAATACATAGTTGGAACTCAATAAGTATCTCTTAAACTCTTGAATGAATGAATGAATGAATGAGCAAGATGGTTGTTGGAATGCGCCTTGAAAGATGAGTATGATTTCAACAGGTGGAGAAAAAAAGCTATTTAGGAAAAAGGAACACCATAGGCAAAGGCAGAGCAGAGGTGTCAGGGTTTGTTTGGGGATTGGTGAGCTGATCCCTTTAGATAGAGGACTGCGCGTATGTAGAGGAGTCAAGGGGAAATTTCTGACAAATGAGTGCCAGAGTTAGAGAAAGGATGGCCTTCTACGCAGGACAGGTGTGGGGATAGATAAAGAGCAGTTACTAAAGGATTCAATTGAGGAAATGATGTGATTAGCACTGGATTAGTGGAAATGATGGATTGTAGGAAAGAGCTATGGAGGGAGAGACATCTATTAATATTCTATTAGAATTGTCAATTCAAAAAAATAATTGAGAATCTGAGTTAAGCTGGCAGTAATAAAAATGGGAATAAGAAGACAGAGTTGAGTGACATTGTGCAGGAAAAATGTACAGGACTTACTTAGCAATGAATAAGATGTCAGCCTTGATGGAAAAAAAGGGACTCAAAGAATTACTCCTGGAACCTGGGAAAATGTGCTTCTGGTAATGGAAATAGGGATATCGGGAGAAAGATTTTAATTTGTAGAGGTCACTTGTGCCAAGGAGGTTGTAGATATACATTTGAAAATAAAGAAAAAAGCTTAGAACAGAAAAAGCTAAACATAATGATCAGGCCTCATCTTTCTTGAAGAAATACTTCAAGAATGTTGATAGATAAGTTCCACTAGATAAAAGAAAAAGATGGAGAACAGAACATTGGGGACACCTATTTTTAGAGGGATGAGGAAAAACAGAATTCAGAGATATCAGTAAACATGAGTCAGAGTGTAGCAGGGGAGTCAAGATAACAACGCTAACAGATGCTATAACAAGTGGCACTTTCAAGGTCAGGAAAGTCAGTGGTACCTAATCTCAGAATAGAGCCAAGGAGGATGCAGATTGAGATCACTTTGCTGAATTTGGCAAAAATAGTTTATTGGTCATCTTTGAGGGAAAACAATCAGTGAAAGAAAAGGGAGAATCTGCACTGTAAGTAATTAAGAATTGCACTGCTTATTAAAAAACAAGAACTGGTAGACGATCCTTCACAGATGATTATCCAGGAAAGGAAGAAAAAATGATGAGAAAAGATAGTTCAAAGGGTAGAAGGATCAAGCAATAGTTTCTGCTATTTGTTATTTTTTATATATATAATGTAAGAAATCCGGAATGTTAGAGCTGGAGAAAATGTTAGCCTAATCCTTTCTTCCTTTTTTACGTGAGGAAAGTAAGATTCAGAAAAGAAAGTGAAATATCCAATGTTACATTGTCAGGGTTGATTTGAGCCTAAAATCAAGAAGTCTTGAGTCCTTGTCCATTACAGACTTGAATCCAACCAATTTTGCAGGAAAAAAATTAATGCCTCTTCTGCACCTTGTCTTCTGTGGTGGACAGACTGAAATGGCCCCCATAACCTCTGCCTCTTGGTATTCACACCTTTGAGAAATACTTCTCCTGAGTGTTTATGGGACCTGTGACTTGCTTCTCATGAACAGAATATGATGACACTGACAGGATATCACTTCTGGATTATATTACAAGGATTGCAACATCTGTCTTGATGAGAGACTCTCTCCCTTGCTGGTTTTGATAAAGCACTTAGCATGTTGTGGAGACCCACATGGTGTGAACTGGAGTTAGCATCCAGCCACAGCCAACAAGAGAAACTG